TTTTCTAAATTATCGAGTTGACAAAAAAAAGAATGTATATATATATATATATATAATATTTTCTCCACAGGAGAGTTCGAGGAGAGAGGGAGAGAAGGTGGCGGCCTTGCGCCGATGATCGCCGTTGAAAATCAGCCGAGTTTGCGTGCCGGCTCCAGCCTGGGGCAGGTCGAGGAGGCAGCGGGCGAGGGAGGCGGCGGCAACGAGGCTGGTGGACCCGCTACCTCACCAGGTGAGGGATCGTCATTCCCCCCTAAAGAGCTCATCCTTCTCCATCCCTTAACGCTTTCTGAAAACCATTGAATTGAAAAGAAAAAAAAGAAAAAAAAAAGAATTCTGAAAAACGGGAGGAAATGAATCGGACGATTGTTAGCAGAGGAGGGGGTAGGGAAGAAAGGTGTGATGAGCAAGGAGGGGCAGGAGGAGGAGGGAAAGGAATCAACTGGTCAACAAGCTGCAGTAGCTACACCTAGCGGCGCTCCCGCGATGCCTGTTGGGGGCGCTCGAGGCAGCGACGACGACGAGGACGAGGAGGAGGAAGAGGAGGAGGAGGAGGAGGCGTTGGGCGAGGAGGAGGAGGAGGAGGAGGACGTGGAAGTGGCGGAGGGTGGCGGAGCGGCGCAGGAGGCGGTCGGTGGCGGTCTTGTGGCGGACGATGGTGGGGGTGGAGGCGGCATGGCCGGCTTTTGGAGGCAGAGCAGACCCTCCAGTCCCCGCATGCCGCCTCCGGAGCAGCCGGAGCACAGGCCTAAGAGCCGACACGAGCCAGCTCCCGCGAGATACAACAACCTCGGCTACTGGAGGGCCAGGAGAGTCACCTTCTATAAAAATGGCGACCCGTATTTTCCTGGCATCGAGTTCAGGTAAATGGACCAAGCACTCACCTTGCGCCGCTCCTAGTCCCCCTTCTCGGGTGCAGGTGGCGTGTCCACCATCCTTCCTTCCCTGGCCTTGATCCCGCGGCCCATGAATGAGATCCACGACACAGACAGAGAGAGGCAAGGTGGTAATGACGCGTGCATTTAGTCAATGAAAGTAACTTATATTTCGTTACGAAATAACGTGAAATACCATTATATATGCGTGTGTATATATCGATTGGCAATTGGCAGGTTTAAACCTGGAAGGGACATCGGCTCGTTGGAGGCGCTGTTGGACAGGCTCTCCCTCCGGATGGATCTGCCGAGGGGGGCGCGGCACATCTTCTCCATGGACGGCGACAGGAAGCTCACCCTGGACGAGCTCGAGGACGGCGCCTCGTACGTGGTATCCAGCTACAAAACGTTCAAGGTGAGCGAGAAATTGCGCTTCTATTTATAATCCCGATAAAAATCTCGAAACGGGCGGTTGAGGATACGGTTTATGCTTTAAGAGATCGGTTGTTGAAGGAATTTTTAATTCCGGAGAAGTGGGTCGTTCGATCTTCGATGCATGCGAAGAAGAAACGGGGGTCCTTGGGACGCACAGGATCGCGTGTAGATCAAATCTCTCTCCGGCAACAACCCCCTCTCCCCCTATTGAACGGGAGAAATCGTCGAGCGAGGCATACGAAACGAATAATTCGAGCAATTTGCGAAAAGTAAATATCTGGGTGTGGCAGTATATCGTTTGTATTAATTAAAACCGAGTGTGTGTATACGCGCTTAATATTCATGAGCTGAAACAACAACCTGTGCACTCGTCGTTCGTGTATATATAATTATATATGCTTGTTGTACGAATATAACGTCAATTTCATTGTCGAAGGGAATTAAGTATATCGTATTCTTTCTTCGTACGTGTATCTGGAAAAAAAAAAAAGAAGTAATCGAAACTATTATTTCTATTATTTCGTTCTTAAGCATTTCACTTTACCTTCAATTTGATCGATCACGTCGGTTAACGAGATACGAAGCGAGCATTCGTTCAAGAGAGAAAAAGGGTCGGGGGAAAAATGGTCCAATTAACGGCAAAACCTTTCGGCTGGAAGTAGATAGCGTTCATTACTTTTACGAAAGGCGTCGTGGTGGCCCACGCCCCTTATGATGATCTGATTTCTAGGTTTTAAGGTGTGACCGTTATTTCGATCGTGCCAGGTCAACCCTTAATCCGGCAAAGTGGTCCTGTCGTTCACACACCCACCACCCGTATCCTTGATGATTCTTGATAATCCCAGATCCACCTCGATCAAACAGAGATTTTTAATCATCGACGACGATTAAAATCACCCTCGACCATTGTTTACCAAAGCCACGTGGCATGGGAGATCGACGTCTCGTGTAAGTGAATCCGCGATTTCGTGGTAGGGATGGGAGCGAGAGGTGGGGGTGCAAGTGTCGCTACGGGGTTGGCTGGAAAGAGGGGCGAAAAGAGGGCTGGCCAATTGGCGGTTTGCGGCTGCGCACCAGTCCACCCTTCATGTTTTCGATTCCGTTCAAACGGTACGCCATCCTACATAATATCCTCATTTCATATATATATATATGCTTTCATGCGCGTCCCACTCGCATTACTCGCCAATTACCTTCAATACGTCATTCCTTCGTATCGCGATAACGATTCGTATCTTTAAAATGGACTCCTTCGGTTTCTTCACCTCGATGACCTGAATTTATTTTTTCGATATCACGCCCCTCCGATCTTGGTTAGGTTAGATTAGGAAAAAGTGGGTTGGGTCTTCGATAATTTGTTCGTTAATTCCCAACTCCTTGTTCGATCTTTACGAAATTTGATCAATTCGGGAGGTTTTTAATTCTTTTGAAACGCATGCGATATATATACGTATGTATATATAATTTTTCTGAAGACGCATGAATCACTACGTAGCGTGAGGGAGAATTGGTTCGTATTTCCGTTAAGGAGACCGATGCAGGGCTCTCGAGTCGTAGGGCAGGCAGCAAGGGAGAGACCGTATCTCATTGACCGTTGGTCAGCCCCGCAAGGGATCGATAAACAGGTTCTCACACGGACGATTCACAAACTGCGTTTCCACCGTTCCGTCTTTCTCGATTCTTGACGATTCAGACGGCCGATTTTGTTCCGATTTCTCGAGGATTTTCGCGAAATGTAACGATGCGAATGTTTAAGAGGCGAGCAAGTTTACGATCGTGCGCTCGAAATGGCGGCGCACGTAAGAGGTATAGCGCGATGAAAAATTAATGTTTCGGGATAATGGGAGCGGCAAGGAAGATATAGCGTCGATTATAGCCGGTTGTGAGTTAATGCAATCAATTATGTTCTGACCGTCTCTCGCAACGGCGTTACTACTGCGGTCGGAAGTAACAGTTTATTACTACTGCAAACTCACCGTTACACAAACGTAATACACACGTGCGCGCGTGACAAGCGTTTGTCGAAGCTCGATATATCGATATATCGATGTATCGTTGGTGATCGATGTCGAGAGATTTGACGACACGTGACAGTGACGTGGAACGAATCGGACCAATCGGGCATCGATGTCACCGAGTCTTGCCCAGTCTCTGTGTTGTCTATTGCTTGTCGTCGTTCTTCTTCTCTAACCTCACTTTCATTTATTTTCCTCCGATTATTTGGCTAGTTATTAAGTAAATAACTAAGTATCAAATTACAAAGATTAAACTTCTTTTCTTTTTTAAAAAAAATATAACTTACGTTACTTCGCCTTATCATTACCAAGATTTCTATCTGTAGAATTATACACCGTTTTTTTTTTTTTCTTTTTTCTTACGTTTTATCGATTGTGACTGTGATTAATTCCACGGTCGTCATATAAGTTAGCAATAAAAACCGATATATATCCTTTCCAACCAGTGTTTCACGTGCGGCTTCTTTTTAATCACCTATGGCATGTTAAACACGGGGACGAACGTCCGTCACGCACGTTCCAACTTCGTTCTTCATTTTCATATCGCGCCTACGCGATAACGAGTCCTCTTTTCTTTTCTTTTCCTTTCTTTTCTTTTTTTTTCCCCGTCGGGTCACACTTACCGACTGTGTACACGTTTTCGTTCCCTGGTAAATTCATAAACGATATTACACAGCTAGCTAGTTGGTTAGCTGTTCTCGAAAGAAATAATCGTCGTCGACCGGTCTAAAATTCGTGTCAGCCACCCTCCAACGTGATATGTCACGAACTCGAGCGGCGGACAGAAACTTGCACGTATCTGGCCTACATACATCACGGAATTACGAAGAATACCTTTCTTAAAATTATTGTTACGTAAAATGGATCGGTAACACGATCGTCGTTGCGTTTTTTGTAACGTTCACGCGAGAATAATTCAAGGAGCGCATGACAGGAAAGGGAAAAAAGGATTCGATAAATAATCTCGTTGAACCAAATATCGCCATTTTCTTCTTATCGGTTTCTCAACCGACGAACAGGTATTGCATGCCTGGTTGCAGATTAATTGCATGCGCTCGGCGAAGGGGAAAGGAGAGGGAAGTGAGAAAGGTGGATGGAGAATATTTGCGACGATAAATCCCTTTTAAGCTCGTAAATTTTTTTCCATATATTCTCGCTCCAACTTCTTTTTTTTTCTTTTTCTTTAGACTCTCGTTGTTCCTCGTTCCTCTCAGCTGCATGACTGACGGCAGTCCACTTTAATTGACATTATTACGTCGATCCTGTGAGCGATACACTCCAAGTTGTCGAATAATTACGCGGCCCATTCGATCTGATCACCAAAACCGTGACATATATATACGGTGTAAAATTTTCCTTCCCGAAATTTTTTCTTCCATCGAACATTAAGGAATCGATGTATCGCAAGCCCACTTTCTCTCTCTCTCTCTCTCTCTTTCTCCTCTCTTCCTCTCTGTCACGAAATACGCAGATTCGTGCTTCGCATTGTGCAATCCACGGCGATCATTTATCGCCGCTTGTCACGCTGAATATGTATGAGGTTTGAATTCGAAACAAATGAATTTCGGTGAGGATCGATCAGAGAGAGAGAGACAGAGAGAGAGAAGACGGTTTCGGGAAAACCGCGATCCTCCCTCTCTTCTTCCCTTCTCCCCACCCCTCCACCGCCTCTGTGCGTACTACAAACTCCACACACGTTTTCTCCGCACGTGAACACACGTGTGGAGGAGTGTGTGTATGTGTACATATACCTCGACGATCGACGATATGTAAATCACTGCGGCATCCCGTCTGCCTTTCAACCAGACCGGCTGCACGCTTGTCGCAGAACGTTCGCAGGACAACTACCCTCTGTTTTACACACACGTCTCCCCCTCCCCTCTCCTCCCTTCTACGTGCGCTCGTCACGCACCTCCTGCAATATACGTATACAATTATTTCAACTTCTTATGCATGCATAAAGCGACACAGCCTGATTTCCAATGGAAAAGATGGAAAAAATAAGAATTAGAATAGAAACGATCTGAAATTGAAAGGGAATGAATATTTGTTTTTTTTTTCTTTCTGAACACATTTGTGATTCAGCGTGTGATTCAGTTGAGTTTCACCAGGGGGCCAAATGTTACTTGCAGAATCGTAAACGATAAGCGATAAACGGAAGTAGTTTTAATATTTTTGTTTTGTATATTTTAAAATAAAATTTAGTTGGGATATACTTATATATGTATATATCAGTTCTTAGTTTTCGTTAACCACCTGTAACCACCAATTCTGAATCAATTGTTCTCTACTTCTACTTCTTCGTTCCCTGCTTCGATCTTAAGTATTCTGGTCTGAGTACAAGCCTGTGATTGGTTGATGTCCAACTTCAAGATTCTGTATTATCGGTTGAAACTCGTAACAACACATCTCCTACACACATACGGTATAATTTTAAAATTAAAAATTGTATAAAGATGCAGAGTGGTTCGCCAATGGATCATACTCGTCCCTCTTTTCCGTTTCTTATTATATTCCAGTGCTCATTCCAACTTACATTAATAAATATATGTATAAATATATGAATTTACATTAGTAAATAAAATTACGTATAATATAATTACATTCTAGGGGATTCTTGTTACTCGATTGGTAACTTTCTTAAATATAAATACGAGTGCAAAGAATTAAAATTTTATTTTTCTTACAACAAGAAGACGTCACTCAAACATAATGACGAACGTGTTAAGGTGAACTTAGTAGTTTTACCAAATTTTTCAATACTCGTTGGGAATAATTTTCTTTCCCTTCTTCAGAAAGGGGAACAACAAGTTTCCTTCGTGCATGCATTGCGTTGTAACTCGATTCAATCGTTTTAAATCCAGTGTGACACAACAACGGTGTGATATCCTGCGAGGAAAACACGTATTTTTTAATTCTTAACGCAACGAAAGGTTTCTTTACACATTAATTTTATAAATAATTTTTATATCAATGTCCATCTTTGCACGAAACTAAACAGAGGCAGGGAGAAATCAGCGTTGTGTGTGTACAACGATCGCCCGCCTCCGTCGCTTATCACTGTGCAGCCAGCCTTATCACTGGCCAATTAATGGCGCCGCATTACAGGTTGCCGCGAATTATATTTTATATCTCGCTCGTCTATAAATTTACGTCACGATTTGATAAAAAAGAGAAAGAAAAAGGGGAATAACAAAATGATAATTACACTTTCTTTCCAATTAAACTGGGTCGGTGTTGCATGTTAAAATCCGTGCACGGATGATAATTTATAGCGAATGACCCGCGGCAAAAGGTTAAGGGTTGGTGTACAGCGAGTTCTTTGGACGGGTTCTCCCCTTATCATCAAGGTGAACGGTCAACCAGGGTGTTCACCTTATTCCACTCCACACGTTTGTAAATCGTTCCACCGTTATCCGGAAGAGAAGAAAATTTTCTAATTCTCTGCGAAATTGCTGAAATAGGAGAACACGTGCGGATGATAAATCGTGAAATGAAGAGAGAGAGAGAGAGAAAATTGAAATAGACTCGAACGTAAGAAAATATAAATTAAACGTGAACCTGAATCCTTTCTTCACTCGATTTGATCCTTGCAAATGAAACGATTTCGTAATATCGTCGTTGCGTCAACAACAACAACATAAGTCGACATAATAAGGGGGTGCACGACCGGGCGTAAATGCGTGGAAAGGTTAAGGGTTGTAGCACCCATGGTGAACCCAAGAGTGTGCACCCACGCGTACTTTTGTTGCACGTTCGATCGGCATCGCGTACCAACAGCCGGTAGATTGTTGCACCGTGACCTTGGCCTTGCACGTATAACCAACATATGCATACGTGCTCGACTAACACGTGCTGCGGTTCCACGAATCGTAATTTATAGGGACAACGTATCGTAAATAACGATGAAACCATTCTCGTGAATGGACGAGATTTTTTCTTCTTTTTTTTCTCAACTTCTTCCCAACTCTTCCATATCTTGCGAAGAAACGTGATCCGTGCTTGAATCAGGAGAATAAATATAGCGAATGATAGTCCAATTCCTTCAAATGTGCAATACTTGTGAAATTCGTAATCATCACGTATTTCCTCGCTTCCTATGACGTAGGCGACGTAGGTATTTTTAGTTTGTGATTTATTAATAGAAAGTTTTCGTGGCCGGGCTCGTGATGATTTTGATTAAAAGGAGATTCTAGATTCGTGTGATTTCGCAGCTTGTTCGCGGTTGATCAGATTGGAGCTGACTTGGTTCTCGGCCGAACAGCAATTGTCGTTGACGCAAATCACATTTGTTTCAGAGAAAGGCAACCTTGAATAGAAATTTACGATTGAATTTGAGTGAAAAATTTCATTGAAACTTAATAATAGTGCGAATAGTAGCATTATTAATTCATTAAATTCATACGTGATTTTTTTAATCCAAATTGGATACGAAAATAAAATAAAATTGCATATTTTTCTTCGCCGATTCCACGTCTGTTCGATCTTCTGGAAGAACTCGTGCCTGACAATAATTCCAACTCGAATCGCTCCCTCTAGAAATAATATTTAAATTTCTATTATTCGCGTATTTCGAACTTATTTATTCTTTTTTTTAAATAAGACAAACGAAAGAGAGACATGGAACGACACCTTAACTCGAGGGTTAAGCTTACGTCACAGATGGGGGGGAGGAGGAGGGGGTGCATTACCGGAAGGGTCGACTCGAGTCTGTGTGAGTCTGAGAGTGTCGTTTGACCTTCACCCTGTGTTAATCTATGCTTCCATTATCATACCAATCCCATCAAATGCTGGCATTGCATTGCAACTGTACGAGGATGGAACTGGAGGAATAAACTGGTGTGTTGGTCGATCGAGCTACGCTTTCGATTTCTCTGGAATGTACACGTGACTTGATTAAAATAATTTAAAGGTAGAAAGAAAGATACGAATTAAATAGAATTTTATAACGATAAGTTTGATTTTTATCACTCGTGTCGCCGATAAATTTGGAAAGAAATCTGCAAGTATATAGCAAATTATTGCAAGGTCGTCGAATCTCTGGCATTCTGCCGGCTACAGCAGCGTGCGTGTTTTGAATTCATAAGTAAGGTTTATTGGATCATTAGCCCCCGTTGTAAGATATTTCTTTCTTCCTTTCTTTCCTTCTTTTTTCCATCTCTCGAGTTGTCACTTTGAATATTGACCCTGTCGGTCCAACTGTGTAATATTACTTGAACGCTTATCTTTTTCTCCTGAATTAGAACAGACGTCCATCAAGCTTTCATTCATTCAAACTAAATTTCCAGGCTTTTCAATTTACCGATCCCTTTATCCAGAGAAACCATGACACGTTGAAAATTGTGCTGAAACTATATTAAGAAAATTAATGCAGAACCTTGTTGCAACAAAGTGTCTAGCACACGTGAGATGAAGATAAAAAAAAAAAATAACGGTACGCTTGCATTACCTTTCTAAATTGATCGTAAAGCGTCCTTTGCGACACGCAACAGATAAAGAAGTGAAGGAAAAACGAAAAACGTAAAACTTGACGTAAATCTTCGTCTACCCTGGAATCGCCTTGAATCGAGCTTCCTCTCATTGAAACGTAATCCAACATCGAAACTCCAAAACTTTTGTCCGATACAGTTTACGTGTCGCGCGGTTTCGTATGCACGTTAAATGCATTGGCTGTTTGGCCTTGAGACACGATGGCTCTCCTCGAAAGCGGAGAGGGAGGGTAGGGGATGTTGCAGCCAGGAGGGCTGGTTCTCCAACCCAATGGGGCAGCACATACCCCGCCTCCAGTTGTCCATCGAACACAGCCGGGGTTGCACCTCGTGAGACAGTACTTCTCACCACCCAATATTCCATTCTTCGCTCGTTCGTGATCCTACCAAGCCTTATATAATCTACACGCTTGGAAAAAGTTTCCACTTCTCTCTCTCTCTCTCTCTCTCTCTCTCTCGTACGTACGTACGTACGTAACGTAACGTAAC